AATACAAAGTCTGCAGTCACATATTACCCAGTAAACTATACACTACAACGCAGAAAAAATAGGGGCAATAGGATTTTAATTTTTGAGTATGGTTACTGGAAATCCCAAGCGACATCAGGCAAGTCAGAAACGTCTGCTGAAAAATATAAGCTTTTGCAAATCATGTCAGTCTAGTCAATGAGGCTTTGAACTGTCAACAAATATTGTACGATAGATTGAAACTATAAATCTGTATGTCGGCTGGTAAGATTAGACAACAAGGCTGGTAGAAACTGGTCCAGAAATATTATGCAATATGCATCGTTCCGTGCATGGAACGTTTCCGAGTCAAACAGGGCAGGTCTTTTCTAAGGGTTATTTTATTTATTTGGCTATTTTAGACTAAGTATATCAATAAACGGTGTTTAAAATGCATTCTTGCCCTTAAATTTAGTGTTTTTAACGGTTTCTCGTGATTTCGTTACTAGGTTTCTTTTTTGTTGGTAACACTGCGCCCTGGATATACGTGACATCAAATCAAATCAAATCAAATCAGTTTATTTTCTGCCACAAAAATCTGAGTAGTGGCCCAGGAATTTGCCTCCAGAAATTCACAGTATAAAATAAGTTGCACCTTGGTACAGGTAAGATGGACGCCTCGACGTATTTGGTGTTAGAAACAAGACAGAGCTTCGAAGTGTTTTCCAGAATGAAATTAGAGACCAGGGGCGTCACCATCCAGAAATACTTATGGTTATGTAGAGCACGTAGTTTACTGTCCTAAGTTGCTTGTTTATTGCTATAACGGAGCAGCCGGTACTGCATAGACAGTGACATCTTCATCATGTCTTCATTGATCAATGAATATGGCTCCTCAATAAAGATGTTGAAATTCAACAAGTTTGCAAATTTCTCTGGGTTTGTAGATTAGAGACACAAATAGAATTAATTGAACATCCTTGATGATGCGTGCACTGAACATAACCGACTATTATGACTATGGTATAATATTTCTGAGTCCGTCCATTACTTGTCGTTCTGCTAACAAGTAACCTGTAGAATTGACCCTTCAGTAGCTGCTCTGAGGCCGCCATACTTTGGGCACGCACATTGAGCAGGCATTGCTCATAAAAACACAAGTGGTGGTACGTCGTCGTTCGGCGCGTGCTGGGGTGCAAATTTATTCGGCACGTGTGCTGGGTCAGCGCTGGCCGTGAATTAGGGTCTAATTACTCGCTTCGCAGGAGATGCGATACTCAATGGATGGATGGATGGATGTTTATGGCTATACCTTTGGTAACGGGCGGTAGCTTGCGCCCCCTAACCTAAGTCTAGAAGACATAGGCTGCCGCCAGTGCTGCTTGATGAACTTTTGAAATGGGTCTATTTGCACATTCATGGGAACCCGTTTTAGAAAAGCGAGGCACCTGCGCACGCTGCATTCGACAGCCGGCATCACGGCCTAACCGTGACGTCAGGAACATGAGTCGGTCTATAGCCCATTTTGTTTCTCAACTATACAAAAAGTAGGTATCTCAGAGCGCTCTTGTTTTTTCCTCTCCGTTGCATAGCACACTTTCGTCGCCGATTATCTTAACGGCTTTGCTTGACTATACCGACAGTTCCCGACTCAAAAGCATCTCTGGAGTACGGTCGTTTTGCCACTTACATCCTGTCCGCCCCCCGGAGGGCTCACACGAGTGCCCTTGCGGCACATCCTCATGCCGAATGATGTGCGTGCACCTCTATGCGAGCTTTTGATGCCGTGTTCGTTGGAACCGCTTGAGCGAGTTCGAGGTCTTCCTTCACGCCGTCAACACCTACCGCGACACCGGACGACGGAAGGTTGTATTCGGGGCACACGCGTGTAGGCATGTAAAGGGTAACCCAAACTACCTAGTGCCACTGGAAGAATATTCGAAAGACCCTACGTTTGGACATATCAAGGCTGGTGCACGTGGTAGGCATTTGCTTGCGATTTCGCAGCTCCGGCATTGAGCGCTGCAGCCTCCACCACGCATTTTTTCCCGCATGAGTGACGTCGCAACAGCGAACTCGCAAATAAAATCGCACCATGTGAATCGGGCATCACACACAACCTGTTCAGTGTTCGCAAAGTTGGTGATCTGCCAGACAAAACTTGTTCGCCAAGTTGGTGCCATTCCAGGTGTACCTTGTTTGCAAAGTTGGGGATCTGCAAGACACACCTTGGTTCGTAAAGTTGGTGACTTGCCAGATACACGGTGTTCGCAAAATTGGTGGCATGCTACTGTCAGATATACTTCATTCGAAAGGTTGGTCACAGACCAGACATAAATTGTTTGAAGATATTTTAGATGTACTTTGCTCGCAAAGTTCGGTATCTGCAAGACACACCTTGTTCGTTGGTGACTTGCCAAGTGAACGCTGTTCGCAAAATTGGTGGCTTGCCACTGTCAGGTACACTTCATTGCTAAGTTGGTCACATGCCAGACATAACTTGTTCGAACAGCTGGTGACTTCCCAGGCACACTTTGTTCGCAAAGTTAATGACTCAGCATATACAATTTGTTTATAAGGCTCATGACATGTCAGGCACAATTTGTTTACAAGGTTGACGACGCACCAGACACAACTTGTTCACTAAGTTCTTTACTCCTCGGATACACCCCGTTCACCAAGTTACTGACTTGAAAAGCCCATCCTGTTCGCAAAGTTGGTGGCATGCCAGAGGCACCCTATCCACAAAGTTGATGACTTGCCAGATACACCTCATTCGCAAGGTTGGTGACATGCCACGAACACCTTGTTCTCAGAGTTGGTGACCTGCCAGACGCACCTTGTTCGCAAGGTTGGTGATGCCTACCAACAGTGAGTCAAAAGATCCCGCCTGGAAGCAAGAGATACTGCTCCAGACAACCCGGCTGTCCATATATATTTTAAAATATCGACCAGGAATGTTGCCTACTTTCTCGTGTAAAAGGACCAAGCCATTAAACAAACAACTAAAGACTGATGTCCGACACGTCAGGCACACCTTGTTAACAACACATCCTACTCTTCGGCATTTATACATGCAGGCTCCTATTGGCCACATTCACTAAGGCAGCACATTGGCCCAGTTCGTAATCATTGTGCATAACGGACACAAGCAGCTCAGTAAACGACAACGAAAAAAGGCGTCCACGACAATACACACCTGTCACTGATCATTTAAAAAGGGCAGGGCAAGGTAAGTCCTCAGCATCTCTTTATCGCTCCGCGGTCAATGAGATTGTACCGCAATCATGAAGCATAAAGAGTAAGCATACAAGGTGTCTCCCCCAAAAAATGTACGGGGTTTTTCCATCGCCAAAATGAACTATGCGTCGCCGAACGCACCTTCTCCGCCCAAAGGTAGCGCTAGTGGTCCGAACCACTATATCAAAGTTTCAGAACTAACCGTTATCTCAATCAAAACATATAAGTCATTATCTGAAATTTTCAATGGGGAAAATGGCGACCAACGAAAACGGGCGAAAACGGGCCCCCATTTTTCCTACTGAAATTTTCAGAAAATCAATTATAACGTTTGAATTAGATAACATTTAGCTCGGACATTTTGGCATATGGAATTAGATTGCTAGCGCTACATTTGGGCGGAGAATGAGCATTCGGTAACGCGTAGTTCATTTTTAAAATAAAAAAAAAAAAAAAAAAACTTTTTTTTCTTTTTTTTTTTGGGGGGGGGGGGGGGGTAGCACTTTGTAGTAGGTCACACCCTGCGTTTATTAAAGGGGCACTGCAAAGGGACGAAGAAAGCCAAACGCTGCTTCGAGGGCGTGCCTGTCAGTGTCAAACATGAGCGTTCAGCGACTACATTGGTCTAGAACGTCGGATAATGACGACATAAAATGCTAGAGGTGGGACTGGCTGAATTGGTGCACACCTTCTGGTCCTTTCAAGTTCGTGATTCTTTGCTTGGAACACCCGTAAATCGGTGGGTCGTTCACATCTTCATAGATGGGGATGTTAATTCCAAACAATTAGGAAGATCGCGCATGGTTGTTGCACGCTCTTGTCGCTTTGGTTTTCTACTGGTTGAGACCAAGGACGTCATCAACAATAAAAAATGTGCTCAAAATTCTTACCTTATTTTACCTATTATGTTCAAAATAGACCAGATTTCTTCTTTATTTTAATTTTGATATGCTGCTAGAGTCCTCTTTATTAGTTTTAGCGAACGCAATGCAAATTAAAAAATGTACAGAAACACTTTGCATGGACCCTTTAAGCTGTCCGTGGCTATAGGAGGTTTCACCGGTCTGCTGACTTGTAGCAGAACGATAAAAGATGCCGCGTTTTTCCCAACAATGAGGACAGTTTTTCGAATTGAATTCACAAAATGCCCCTTCAAGCCACTGAAAGGCTGACTTAGCGGACGGGTTTGTACTTTCGGAACAAACGATATAGTTTTCTGTAAATAGTTTAATGTAAAGGTCTCTGCCGTTCTTTTACATCTTATAGAACCCGTTTTTATATACTGTTTTTTGTTCAATTGAATACACACTTTGAAGGCTAAATCTCATGTTAGTAAGAAAAACAAAAAGCATCATATTGTTTATCTTATTTTATTTTTGGTTCTAACAAGAAGGGAGAAGTCGACTGTCATATTTGCCGACCCTTATTTAAAGTGAAACGCAAACGGCATCCCCACATATCGAATGGACCTTTCCAGTAGCGGCTTCTGACCACTGTTTGCAAACGAGTTTTTTTACGCTCCTGCTTGCAATGGCTGACCGGGCAGGAGCCGGTAGCCACCAGAAGCCACAACCTATGAGCAGACGCCTCTGCCGCCGGAGGCCATAACCATCGCAATCTTCGCCTGCTTTCTGGCATTTCTGGCTCGGAGCCACCTCAAAGACTGCACAATTTCTACTTGGGAAAGTATGCGCGGGCCTAATTGCGATATTCGTTATCTTTATTTCTAATCGGCCAATCCAACACGTGGAAATAATTTTTTTTTCTTTTTGCTTTACAAGAAGGTGAGAGATATGGCTCACCTCTGAATTCCCTGAGGGGCTCTGGTGCAGACGGCGTCCTCCGTCGGTCCCTGAGAATGCGAACCGCTCCGTTCTTGTCGATGGAGAACCGTAAACACCTGCGCGATATGTCAATGGACACGGAGAATAATCGTCAGTAAAGGACGACAAACATGACCCCGTAATCGCAGTCGGTAAGAAACAGGTATTGGTGATTTTCATTGACGTGTTTTTTTAACCTATTTTAAGGGCTTCGTCTTCAAACCGCCAGGCGATGTGAATATTCAACTCGCCCGAGAAGGCTGGCGAGCGAACCTGCCACCATCACTTTCTGTTCTGTGTGTGTTCCTTCTCTTAATCTTTGTTGTTACGCGCTGTTACACCTACATCATGTTATACAACGAATGACCGATTTTCAGCCATCGAGCTAAAGGGGGAGGCCTTGGTACGCTTCCCGCTAATGTTAGTGCGTGTCAGGACAAAATAGTTGAGCTCAAATCGAACGTAAGAACCATTAAAAAAAAAAAACTCGATGACTTTGAAAATTAGAGTAGAAGGTCAAACCTAAAAGTATACGGAATTGAAGAACAGGACTACGGAAACAGTGAAGCGCTCGAGAAAATAGTTCTGGACGATATTCTCGGAGAAAATTTTAAACGTACAAATATCGGGCATTGAGTGCATTCACCGTGTTGTAAGGAAGATTGAAAACAAATTCAGACCGGTTATTTCTGAACTACTGAACAGTAGTGATAAAACAATTCTAAACTGTCTTTCGAAAACTATTACAATAGTTTTCGAAAGACACTTTACACCAAAGAGTTTCAACATCTTTTACATCAAGCAAATGTACATAGAGGGTGCCTCGTTTTAAAAGGATCGCTACACTGCCGCTCCTTGATGTTCTGTCTTTTGTTAGGATAACGTAATTTGAGGGTACAGTTTCCCTGTCAAGTATGAGAGGATGTTACCACGTTTCTGTAATTCTCTCGCCCTTAATATGTTGGTGCATATAGTAATACAAGTTGTGTAGATATTTAACATGCGAGGTAGGAGACCGGTAAACCACGCCTACAAATACAGAATGTATCTGTGGGTGTGGTTTACCGGTCTCCTACCTTGGATGTTAAATATCTACACAACTTGTATGACTATATGCACCAACATATTAAGGGCGAGAGAATTATTATGATTCGTGATTTTAATTTTCCGTAGATAAACTGGGATTTGCTGCAATCTGACATAGCTACTACCTCTGATGTTCTTATAGACATTTTATTCACATTTAACCCTACACAAATCATCAGGAAGCCAACAGAGGTGCAAAGGTCTCCTTGTCCGCTGGACTCTATAGCTCTTAGTGATCATTTTCCCCAGGAAAATACTAATGTAGAAGTGCTAAAGGGCATCTCTGACCATAAAACAGCCGTTGCAACAATACCTGCACGCACCCGTCCCACGGATATATAACTTACATGCTTGATTTCAGTATTGATAATGACGCATGTGTACAAACCTACCTTTTCTCGTGCGCTCTGGAGTTTTCTCGAGGTTTGTGATTGCACCGCTTTTGGAATAGATGATATAGGGTTTAAGTTCAAATCAATTGTAAAGCATTGCATTGCCCAGTTTGTCCGTAAGAAACGTAAAATGATACAAAAAAAAGACAGCCCATGGATAACATGTGAGGTTATTCAACTCAAGCGTAGAATCAAGCTGCTCAGAAAATGACCTAAGAAGTACTCAGTTACAGACTGCAGAACTACAGGTTGCAAAACAAGGCTTTCCAAAGAACCTAGTGCCCTCAAACTGAAAATGAAGAAGCAAGAAGTACTTCAATGTAACCCTCACGAGTTTATGAAAACATCACCCACTAAATTTCGGAAGCTATATAAGTGTATTTCTGAAATCACCACTAAATACCCTAACGCCTTTGTTACTCTCTTTGGTGATTTCAATTACCCAAACGTTGACTGGTCTGCCCTCTCTTCTAGTTACGCATTGTCTCAAGAATTTATAGACTTTTGTTTAGATTTCAACTTTACAAATGTTATCACTCAGCCTACTAGGATTACTAATCACTGTAGCAATATACTCGACTTGTGCTTAAGCCAAGACCCCTCACTCTTCAGTAACATCACATACTTACCCGGCATTAGTGACCATCTCGTCATCGATTTAACTCTCTCTCTCTCTGTTCCTCATAGATCACATTACTGCAAATTCATTCGCAATTACGCGAGAGCTGATTACGCATCAATCAACTCGAACCTCGAAAATTTTTATCATACTTTCTCAGTTAACTTCTGGGAAAGAACGGTTAATGAAAACTGGACTCTATTCAAAGATAAAATGATCTACCTGATCGAACGCTTTATTCCACTGACCCGTATTATATCTGACAACACTAACCCTTGGTACAATAAAACAATTCATAGTCAATCCAATAGGAAAAAAAGTCTCTATAAGCGGACTAAGGCTGTCAACACTACGGCTTCTTGGAACACCTACTACGAATGCGCTAGGGCTTATAAATCAGCAATAAATCACGCCAAAACCAAATTCTATAGTATCGACCTCTCCAACATACTAACCACGAAACCAAAGAAGTTTTGGAAAATAATCAATCCGGCACTTTCACTTCCTTTGCAATTTGTAGATGACGACGGACTTCCGCTTTCTGATAAACACGGCGCTCTTGCTATTAATAATTTCTTCTGCTCCATCTTTACTAACGAGGACTTACTAAATATTCCCGACTCGTGCCAATCCACTGACCCTCTCATGGATCCTATCGTAATTGACCGTACTGGAGTACTTAAGGCTATAGATCAACTAAAGGTGTCCTCCAGCTCCGGAGATGACCAAATTAACTCTAAGGTATTAATAAACACTAAACACATTTCTTCCACTTTCCTCTGCGACATATTCTCTCAATCTCTTAAACTCCCTGAAGTACCATCAGATTGGAAAGTTGCTAACGTCATACCCGTTCATAAAACAGGCGATCGCCAACTAATCAGCAACTATCGTCCCATCTCGCTCACCAGCGTTTCATGCAAACTCTTAGAGCACATTCTCTATTCTAACATAATAAATTTCCTAGACTCTCATAACCTCCTTTTCAAGCACCAGCACGGATTTCGCAAGTCCTACTCATGCGAAACTCAGCTAACAGCATTTCTAACTGACGTTTACTCAAATTTCGATTCCAATGTTCAAACTGACGCCATCTTTATTGACTTCTCCAAAGCATTTGACAGGGTCCCTCATCAACGTCTTTTAATGAAACTAAGAAATATTAATCTTCACCCCTCAGTAGTCAATTGGATTTCTGAATTCCTTACTAATCGCACACAGTACACTTCTATTAACAATATAAAATCTACCACAAGCGCAATAACGTCTGGCGTCCCTCAGGGAAGCGTTCTTGGCCCCCTTCTTTTTTTAATCTACATTAATGATCTCCACCATGGCATCACTTCTGAAGTACGTTTGTTCGCCGATGACTGTGTCATATATAGACCCATTCATTCACGCCACGATCAGCTAACCTTGCAAAACGATCTCCAACTTATAATTCAGTGGTGTCATAAATGGCAAATGGCTTTAAACTATAATAAATGTAAATCGCTATCTTTTTCCCGCAGTTCACATGTTCTATCCTCCTCTTACCACTTTTCTGGCATCCCAGTAACTGCTTGTTCATCGTATAAATATCTAGGAGTTCATCTGACATCTGACCTGTCGTGGACCACTCATATAACAACTGTCATCGCCGATGCTAACCGCACTCTCGGATTTCTTCGCCGTAACCTCAGACAAGCTACATCCCCCGTAAAACAACTAGCTTATACTACCTTGGTCAGAACTAAACTAGAATTCGCTTCTTCCATATGGTCACCGTGGCAGGCATACCTAACTAACAACCTGGAATCCTTTCAAAGCAGGGCCCTCCGTTTTATTTATTCCGACTATTCCCCATACGCAAGCATATCAGGACTTCGCCTATCAGCTAACCTTGACACTTTTTCTCACCGCCGCAGGGTGTCTCGTCTTTCTCTTCTTCATCGGATCTTTTATTACAACAGTCATCTCAGACAAAGTTTGTTATCTCCTCCTTACCGCATTTTCCCTCGTCTCGACCATTCTTGTAAACTCCGTCCGATTTCATCGTCAACCGTCACTCACCGAATGTCTACTTTACCATTGGCCATTGACGACTGGAACTCACTGCCTGACGTAATTGTTACCTTATCTGATACTAAAAAATTTTCTGCAGCCATTAGCTTATTTTTTCTAACCCATAACTAGATTACAGCGTGTTTTCGTAGATAAATAATTTTGTTACTTGTTTGTTTTTTAAGTGTTCACTCCCTTGTGTAATGCCCCCTGGGCCTTCAAGGAATAATAAATGATGATGATGATGATGATATTAATCCAAAAGAGTCTAAAACGGAAACTTTGGGCTGTCCAGAGAAACAAAAGATGACCGATGAATTTAGAGCCTACATTAGATCCGTTTTTACGGTTAACAATGGCAGAATAAGAACGCTTCAAACTATTAATGACAACAGTGAAGTGTTGGAAAAATTAATAGCAACTGAGTCAGGTGTACTTGCATTGCTGCTTGAATTAGACGGTAAGAAAGCAGCGGCCCGGATGAAATTCCAAATATGTTCTAAAACGGTATGCCGAATGGGTTCGTAAGTATTTAGTATTCCTTTCCAACAAATCTCGCGACCAATCTTCTGTGACAACTCGATGGAGGATCGCAAAAGTTGTCCCGATCCACAAATATTGCGAACACTCACTAGCCTCAAATTATAGGCCAATATCACTAACATGCGGTACATTCTGCAAACTGGTTGAGCACATTATTCTTAAATTTAGGACAGAATTTATTGAGACAAAGACAATATTTTATGTACACATCAGCATGGCTTCAGGAGCGGGTTATCAACACTTACGCAGCTATAGTAGGTTACAAGTCAAAAAGGTAGCGGCAAATGCCCCTCAAAGGGATTCATAAATCCCTCCGCCACCTCCGCATCCAATAGCGTCCCGTCGTTTCCGTGACGTCGCGGCCAACGCGAGAGGAGGGTCTTGCCTTTCTGTA